CATATTATTCTCTTAAGGCAATTCCATATACATCTAGCTAGAAACTGCTAGATGAAAAAATATGTATAGCAAAACAAAATGATTAAAGGTGTACTTAACTAATTTTGCCAAATGATGTTGGTATTTGAAAGTACAAAAAAAAAACAACCCCAAAACTTAACAGGACCCCTCTGCTTTTAGATTTCTCCTCATTGCTACTAGATAGACCCCCTTATTTCTGATTGGCTGCAAGTGTATTTTGGGTGTCAATCCAACACTGTAGTCAAAAGCATTTCTCAAAAATCACTTACTGCACTGTTAAGTTATAATAATCACAGAGGTTGGGCAATGAAACTGAAACACTTGGTTTAGACCCCAACAATTCATTAGTATGGTTTAGGGCCTCTTTTTGCAGCCAATACAGCATCAATTCGTTTTGAAAAGGACAGATACAAGCTCAGATACAAGCCCTGCACTGTGGCCATAGGGACGTTGAGCCATTCTTCTTACAAAATTGTTGCCAGGTCACTATGTGATGCTGGTAGAGGAAAACATTTCCTGACTCGCTCCTCCAAAACACCCCAAAGTGGCTCAGAAATACATAGCCCTGGTGACTGTGCAGACCATGGAAGATGTTCAACTTCTCTTTCATGTTCATCAAACCACTTTGTCACCAGTCTTGCTGTGTTTATTGGTGCATTATCATCCTGATACACACCACTGCCTTCAGGATACAATGTTTGCACATGGTCCTTCAGAATGCTTTGATAGTCCTTGGCAGCAACGTACTCATCTAACACACATATGTGTGCAATGATATTGCAGTCCAAACCATGACTGATCCACCCCTATGCTTCAGTCAGGGCAGGTAACATAGTGGTATGCTTCTTTGGGGCTTCTCCACACCATAACCCACCCGTGTGACCAAAGTTTTGGCTATATTAGCCTAACAATGTTTATACTGATCCTATGGAGCAAACAAACAGTTTCCCCCACTGGACAGTGAACAGTTTTGGTGAAAAGAGAAGATTTGAGGTGCACTTTTATATCTGCATTGAGTTCCTCTTGCATTCACAGTTACTCCTGTTGAATGTGGTTTGTCCCTTTTGGTGGTGTGCTGACATTACCCTGGATATCATGGTTCTTGATACATCCCAAACACTTGCTGTCTTGGGTACAAATGCGCCAGTGAGATGCACACCAACAATTTGTTCTTCTTTGAACTCTGATACGTCACCCATAATACTGTGTGCATTGAAATATTTTAAGCAAAACTGTGTTATCACTTTGCTAATTAAACCTTTACACTCTGCTCTTACTAGAGGAATGTGGAATTAATGAAGAGTGGCCACTAGGCTGGTCAAATTTAGCCATGAAACCTCCAATACTAAATTGGCCAATGTTTCAGTTTCGTTGACCAACCCCTGCCTGAAACACTTTGGAACTCACCCACAACATGGTCATGTACACAACACATAAAAAAATAAAATTAAAAATATTATAATATATATATATATATATATATATATATATATATATATTACAAATAATTACAAGATTATTCATTTCATACTCTCTTTAGCGACCACTCTCTTAAGCATTAGCGACCACAAAAAGCCATACTTTGTCAGTGATCTTGGGTTATTGATACTGATTTACCAAATCTGTCAAATAAATTTGTGTAGTGTGTACATCAAATGGCCCATTATTTATACTTTTCTTGTGCCATCTACACACCACAGTTTTCACTTGTCAACAGTTTTGTGCAAATCATGCTTGTTCATCTGAGGGACAATTGTGTAGTCTGCATTATTAAAGATGTATTCTGACTATGCCTGTGAGATATAGTATGCTATTTATCTGGACCTGTCAAGGACTCAAGTGTACACTGCACTGTCTAATGTGTTTAATTACAGTATCAGTGATGTCCCACAGCCAACCCAAAGCAAGACGGCAACAGAAAGATTATAGTTATAGACCTAAATCTTAATATTTACCAAAGATTAGCATAGACAACTTCGTAAGCTTCTTGATGGTTCCAGAGCTCCCATTCTTGACTACTTTCTCACAAATAATCTTGTTTCCTTTTCTTGTCTTTCATCATAAGCCGATTGATTGTGTAGAGCATGCACAACAGGAGCTAAATAGTATCACAGTCATAGAACAGAGATCTCAAGACTCAAAATTGTGCATGGGGATCCCAGCATTAAGCAATCATCACTAACATGAATGAGCAGTAATTTGCCTGTTGATTTTGTCTTTTTCAGATTTGTGTGTGTCAGATTTTGTGTTAGCCCGTGTGCCCAATGTTGATGTTACAGATTCAGAGGCTCATTAATTGCCTTTGCATGGATATCAGTTTCAAATTAAGTTTCCAATCCTCCCCAAAGCGGTATAAGATAAGTAAACTAATCTGAATCCAAAATTCTGTGCTACTTCACCCCTGATTCTGAATTTAGTCTTGGTTTCAATAACAGACCAAAACTATGCATAGCTGCTGAAAATGACTCTATAAAAACAGACCCAACACTGCATTGAAGATTTAATTCTAAAACAAGCGAGTATGTTGATGTGAATTGGTGACATTTAAAATGACATTTCACAAAACTAATCCTCCATTCACCTGTTCTATCCAGATGGTCTGTTTGAGAGAGAGAGAGAGAGAGAGAGCTTTGGCACTTCCAGTCAACCTTGTGACGAAAGTGCAAAGATGGCAACTTCTTTCAGGCAGATGTAAGGCTCAAAGGCTTCAGGATAAGTCTGCCAGAGTCGCTGCAGTCTGGAACACAAAGCGCAGCCTCAGTGAACATGGCACACACTGTCAAACGAACTAGACTCAGCAAAAGCATGACACATCCACTCCAGATCCACTGACAGGGGCGAGGCAGCCAGAGGATAAAGTTATCCAGACAAAACCATGCGCAATCAGGCAGCCCCAGGTGGACAGAGAGGATAACGCAGAACATTTCCAAATAGATTTACATGTCTGTTCGTTTGTCTGGACTTGTTTCTAAATCAAAATATTTACTCTTGCAGCAATTATTTCACCTATACATGTGTGTTGTTTTAGAGTGAACAATAAGTCAGACATAATTTAGTCCTAACTTGTTATGCCAATATTTCCACGAAAAAGAAACATTATTAAAATGATAAATAGACAAAATATTTACAAACTATTAATGTTTATTTAAGCTTGATCTCTGCTCCAATGATTTTAGATGCTTAAGGTTTAATTTGACAGTTTAAGAAAGTGTTATTGATATTTTAAGCAATTTGAAGCAAATGAAGAAATAATCATTATATACACTCACCAACTGTCCAACTGCTCGTTAACGCAAATTTCTAATCAGCCAATCAACATGGCAGCAACTCAATGCATTTAGGCATGTAGACATGGTCAAGACGATCTGCTGCAGTTCAAACTAAGCATCAGAAAGCGGAAGAAAGGTGATTTAAGTGACTTTAAATGTGGCATGGTTGTTGGTGCCAGACAGGCTGGTCTGAGTATTTCAGAAACTGTTAATCTACTGGGATTTTCAAGCACAACCATGTCTAGGGTTTACAGAGAATGGTCTGAAAAAGAGAAAACATCCAGTAAGCTGCAGTTCTGTGGCCTTGTTGATGCCAGAGGTCAAAGGATAATGGCCAGACTGGTTCGAGCTGATAGAAAGGTAACAGTAACTCAAATAACCACTCGTTATAACCGAGGTACGCAGAAGAGCATCTCTGAACGCACAACACTTCCAACCTTGAGGCAGATGAGCTACAGCAGCAGAAGACCACACCGAGTGACACTACAGTCAGCTAAGAACAGGAAACTGAGGCTACAATTCACACAGGTTCACCAAAATTGGACAATAGAACATTGGAAAAATGTTGCCTGGTCTGATGAGTCCCGATTTATGCTGCGACATTCGGATGGTAGGGTCAGAATTTGGCATCAACAACATGAAAGCATAGATCCATCCTGCCTTGCATCAACGGTTCAGGCAGGTGCTGGTGGTGTAATGGTGTGGGTAATGCTTTTTATGAACACAGTGTACCCATCTTCTGATGGCTACTTATATGGTGCCATGTCATAAAGTGCGAATCATCTCAGACTGGTTTCTTGAACATGATAATGAATTCACTGTACTCCACTGACCTCCACAGTCACCATATCTCAATCCAATAGAGCACCTTTGAAATGTGGTGGAACGGGAGATTTGCATCATGGATGACAAATCTGCAGCAACTGCGTGATGCAATCATGTCAATATAGACCAAAAACTCTGAGAAATATTTCCAGAACCTTGCTGAATCTGTGCCATGAAGGATTAAAGCAGTTCTGAAGGTGAAAGTGGGTCCAACCCGGTATTAGAAACATACTTAATACAGTTGCCTGTGACTGTTAAAAATGTCATACAAAATTCAGTATTTTTTTCTTGTCTCACTCATCTATACTTTTTTGATTTAAAATATAATCAATTGCATTTAAAAGTATAGATTTTTAAGTCACTGATGCTGACTGCTTTATTAAATACAAATTCAAACAGACATAGTATTACAGAAATAGCCATTATAAAAATAAAAATAAAAAAACTCCCTTTAATGATAAAGTTGAATTTTCAGCAGCCAGTGTCAAATGATCCTCCTATAACATCATGTGTATTTGGTACTCAGAAAACATTATTTAACATAATTAAGTAATCTACTTTTAAGGAATTTGTTTTACTTTTCTTGATGAATAAACTGTTCAAAAGAACAGCATTTATTTTAAAGTAAAAACAAATTATACATAACTTTGTAACGTTAAATGTCCTGCCATGCATGTTTGATCATTGTATTGCTTATCTGAACAAATGTGTACATTTCCCTTTATGTTTGATTGCCATAAATATAATGCTAAAATAACTACGATTTAATGTTGATAAAATATAAATATACAATGAAATAAAACTGTCATCCATGCAACAAAAGTCAACCGACCGTTCCTCTCTGTCTCTCTCCTCCTCTCGTTCAACATCTTTCCCCTTTGTCATTGCGTATGCGTAGAAGAAGATCCCCCACGTTTCAGTGTTCGCCGAGGGATGTTCATAAACTGAATTCCATCGACTTAACAGGATAGTTTACTAGCCCCCGTCAATAAGTTACAGGTGAGAAATTGCTGTTAACTGTACGCTGTTCTGTCTAAGAAACTGTGTGCTGTTTTTAGCATTCTGTAAGGCTAACTTATAGAGACTATGAGCCTCGGTGTTTCCTGGATTACACGCCGCGTTTGATAAGCCGAACGCCGCGACGTCATGCGGCCTAGTCTCGCTTTAGCACCGAATTAGCATCAAGACTAAATCTTTCCGCAGAGCTTTCTGTTTGCTTATAACTTCCAGTAATTCGATTGTTAATAAGTATTATCATATGAATCTCATGATTATTATGCTTGGTGGCTCTTACTCTTATTTATTTTCAGGTGAAATTAAATAATGGCCCCTCAACCAGTCATCCGATCAAAACAGGCAGAAAAAACAATAAACGGAAACCAAACTCAAGTTGTTTGCACGGAATTCAGCAACTACATATTTATCGTTCTGACACAGTATGGTAAAATTGGAACGCTCGTGTCTATAACGCCTGACACGAGGTCCGGTGACATCAGTGTACCAATGTACACTAGCAAAGTCCTGCTGGGGAAAGATGAGGTACTGAAGTGTGCTTTCTGTTTGATGACTATCAGCATAACAGATTAAGTCGTGTTTGTGATTCACCTTGTCATTTCTGTCTCCTTTGCAGCCTCTTACACACGTCTACGCCAAGAATGTTGCAACGTTTGTCTCACAGGAATCAGGCAACCGACCAATCCTGTTGGGCCTTTCACTGAAAGACAACAGTGCTGAAACTATGAAAACTGTTAAAGATATGATCAAAAGCTGCCAGGTTTGGTAAACAGAAGGTCACATGGCGAGCACACTATTTTTGTTTTGGAGTATCTTTGCGATTTATACATCATAAATCTTTACTTGTCTTCGGTGAGTTTACAGAATGCTTGAGCAGATGGTGATCTTAAGTGCTCATGCTATACTTGAACAGTACTCAGCACTTGATACTTAATATAAAAAGTGAGAGAATTGTTCAGTTTCACTTCTATTTTTCCAGATAATAATGGATGTCTTTAAGTTGTCACAAGAATAAATTTATATTTTCTTATCTTTGGTTATTTTTGGTGCTCATTTAAATGATTCATACCAGTTCTAAAACATTTGGAAAAGGACCTGCAATGTTAGCCTCACATATACTGTCTGCTAAACAGGTATTGAATTCAGTGTTCACTGAAATGTTCAGCTACTTTAATTCATGTTTTCCCCATATGATTTTAATTTAGTTACAATCCAGAGTTGACTTTTTTATTTGAAATAAATATAAGCTAAAATTAAGTTTATAAACTGAGTATAAATATACAAACTGAAATCATTTTGTTAATTTCTGTCATTCTTCTACAAAGAGGGCTATTTTACATTTTGAGGGCCTGAAAACAAATTTTTGAAGTGGAGATTTATGAATACGATGAGGCCTTGCATATTACTTGACAACCAAAACAACAGTGGTGGCTTACACAGCTGGATGTGCACAGGCGTGTACGTTTAGTGTTTCTACACCGTGCCATTGTCAGCTTAATGCACATACAGTTGAAGTTGTTATTATTATTAGCCCTCCTGAATCATTAGCCCCCCTGTTTATTTTTCTCCCAATTTCTGTTTAACGGAGAGAGGATTTTTTTTTCAACACATTTCTAAACATAACAGTTTTAATAACTGATTTATTTTTATTTATTCTAGCCGAAATAAAACAAATAAGACTTTCTCCAGAAGAAAAAGATATTATCAGACATACTGTGAAAATGTCCTTGCTTTGTTAAACTTATTTTGGGAAATATTTCAACAAGAAAAAAAATAAATAAATCAAAGGAGGCTAATAATTCTGACTTGAACTGTTTATAGCTCTTTTTTTGTCATTTTTGCAAATCAACTATTACCAGCAAATACAATATTTTCTCAAAGTTACTAAAATATCACAAAAAAGAGCTGAACAAAAAAAAAGTTGCCAAATCCAAACGGCCCCAGGAAGCTGGATTAGCTGGCTACCCAAACTCCACTGTATAAAGAAAAACACCTCTCACGTAAATAGTTTTCAATATTTTTAAAATATATAATTTTTGTGCTAAAAAGAAAAAACTCTTTTTATTTATTTATTTATTTTAATTTCACTATCCCTTCAAACATTTTGTTTTAAAAACAAATTGAAAAATTAAGTTGGGGAAAAAGCAGGATAATGGCTTTAAAACCGTAAAACTTAAATGAACTAGGTCTAAGTCTGTTAAGTAATTATTAAAATTGTATTTTGTTTATTTATTCATTTTTCCAAATGTATTATTAACAGCAACTACAATATTATCTCAAAAGTACTGAAATATCACAAAAATGAACAAACTCCAGGTTGCCAAAACAGATTAAACAGGCCCATAAATCTTGATTAGCTGGATAGCCAGTTTAATTTCAGTTTATTTTGCACCAATCCTTGGTTTTAGCTAACACAAAGGCAGCTTGTCTCTTTGTTGCCACGGTATTATGGAGATGCTGAGCTGAGCTACATTCATGGTACTTAAAGCCCAGAGCAGTTGCAAACTACAGTGAAACTAACTAGCCAGTTAATCTGGTTAATATCAGGTTAAGTGGTTTTACAAAACTTTATACAAACATTGTCTGTTAACTAATATCAATGCAGTTAAATCAATTGATTTTTATAATGCAGGTTCACAAACAGCTCAAAAGATTTACATATTGAAGCAAATTTGTATATGAATATTTTTAATGTAAATTTTAACCTGAAGCAGTTATAAATTGACCATTTGAAACTACTTGATTACATAATATAATGTACAAATCATTTAAATTCCTATAATTTAAATTAATTAGCATCAAAAGGCAATTTTGACTCACTTTAGCGTAAAGGCTTTAATTTGGAGGTAAAAAGATGCTCTGGGACTGGGAGTGGCTTTGTTACAGTGGATAATATACATGTCATTTTACTCACACCAGATTGGTCATTTTTGGGTTTACCTTTTTTATACCAGAATTAAAACTCAAACTAAACATGTTTTTACCTGAGTAAAAATGCAAACTGCTTTTGTGCAGCAGGCCTCAGCTATTAAGTAAATCACAATTTTATAAACCTCAAGTTATTCCAAACCTTTAGGAATTTTTATTTTAGAAGCTGGAAACTGGAAGCTAATAAACTCCACAGTGGTATGAAGAGAAAAAAAAGTGGCATGAAGAGAAAAAAAAACTATTCTTAAGTCAATGCTTATCAGTTTCCAATATTCAAAAAATCTAATTTTGTGCTAAAATGAAGAAACTCAAAACATGTTTGGAAAGATGACTTTTTTCTATTTCATTATCTCTTTAACATTATTTTAAAAATAAATTAATTTAATTAGTTGGGGGTGAAAGCAGGAAAATAGCTTTAAAACCTTAAACCATAAATTAACCTCCCGACAGATCAAGGCTTATTAACTCATGATTACGATTTTACTTATCAGTATTTATTGATTTAAAACTAATCAATACTGTATATTCAGGGGTGAGTTTATCCAACAACCCGTCTGGGGCCTCCAATAAATACCTTTCAAGTTTCTAGTTTTCTATCATATTTTGTATGGTGAGGGTTTAACTAAAATAAAATGTTAGTGTAATTGTTACATTTGTGTCCAGCAGTCAAATCAGATGAAGGTTTAGTTTTAAAATAAGAAAGTTTATTTCATATTTTGTGAAGTTGTAGGAAAGAAGATTCTCTTATATATAAAAAACACAGTTAAACAAATCGTCACCATGGAATTATAAGGCTCTATCTGATTTCTGAATGATTTGGAGATATTGAGCTTCAAACTTTTTGCCTTCCATATAGGAAACAGTATGTGTGTAGCATTTGTTTTTTTAAGTCTTAAAATGTAAACAACTTTAACATCCCATAATGTAAACAAGTTGTCGTTTAATAAGAATATGTCAATAACTCAATTTTGACAAAAATGTCAGATAGAACCTGATAATTCTAAGGTGACGAAATGAATAAAAATATAAAGGGTCTACAGGACTGTTCAGCCCCATGGCTGGAATTGCTTAGGGCCCCCAAAATCACTAAATTCGCCACTGTGTTTGTTTAAAGTGATATCCGGGTGCTATTTCTGTCCAAGTTTAAAAGTGACCCACTGATTTACCTGAACTAAATCTACATAGTTTTGAATAGATTTTGTAATGCGTAAGCGTTTAAAGAGACACTGCGCGTACCTTTGAGCAACAGGTGCAGCCTCTGACTGTCACGTCACGTGACCAAAAGACTAAAGTCTCAAGGTCACATGACCTGGGTGTGCTGTTGTGTTGTTGCGAAGTACGTACACCTGCCCTAATTTGAAACCGACTTGTGAGCTTCTTTTGTGTGGAATCGCGAAAAGGCTTTTGGAAAAACCGATCCTGTACACCTTCGCTTTGGGATTTTCATCACCATCCGCCAGGTCATCTGTTTCCGTCTGTTTCCATCGAGCTGAGTGACGTCCGTCAGACCTGTCTGTCAATAGTTCAACGAGGAAGTGTCGTCGCGGGCCGACTCTACCTATGGCTAACTTGCATGTCGTTTTCTGATACTTGCATAGAGTAAAATATATGCAATATATGAAGTATTTTAGTCCCACAGCGATGTTTAGAGTAAAACTGACGTTTATTTGACTTTTAAGCCATTTACGTTTGATCACAATCATCTCTTCACGTGTTGATACAGTATCAGGGTAAGTGTCTATATAACGTTACACATATTGTCTTCTGTTACAGTAAACCGTTTGACTTAAACAGTTTTATATATATCTGACTTACATAATGAGTCAGTTTTTAAGGTTTAACGCAAACTCGTAATTAACCATGGTTTTATTATAGCAAAACTGTAACTGTTACTAACGTTTTATTACAAATACCATGTACTAGAATAGCAAAACGATGGTTAATCTCTGTTTATCGTGGTTTTAAAAGAAACATGTTTATATATATATATATATATATATATATATATATATATATATATATATATATATATATATATATATATATAATTATTATTATTAACATGCCATCCAGTTTCGCTCAAAATATTATAGTCAAGGACATTTTAATACCCATAAAACATGTTATTTCGAATGACGTTGTCTTTGTTTTGATGACTAATATATGGGTTTTATTTAATAAGGAAACTGTTTAAAGAACAAATAATAAGTAATGATATTTTTCATGTATATTTTTTACCATGAATAAAAATGCATGGTAGACAAAGAAGTAGTGTGGTATTTATAAATAGGTTGTATTTCATATGGTTGTATAGAATATTTATACACACAAGAATTTAGTAGTTTGGGGTGATTATAATTTATATATATATTTTTTTTTTTCAATAAAATAATATATATTTTCATTTATTGCTTCATACTGAATAAAAAATAATTCAATAATATAATAAAATGCTTTCTGATTTGAAAATAATAAATAATTTAAAATAATAAATTAATTATGTAATACACTTTATTGAAAGTATGTTATTAATTCTACGCATGTTATACTGGAATATAAAGTAGTAGATCGGAATTATTATTGAGAAATTCCATGCAAATGTTTTCTTTTCCAAGAAAATGTTTTCACCAAAATACCGAAACTGTTGCTATGTTTTTTTTTCTGTAAGCAAGTATTTTACAGTACTTTAAAAATACTCAAAAATGTCTCTGTTTATGTTTCTTAAACAATTATGTTTGATTTATTAAAGTCACACGAGTGGCAATTTCACGTCTCTCACATCCATAACAAAGTTTTTTTTTTATCATAAATGCAAAACTATTAAATAAAATTAAAATCAAACATGTTTACTCTCTCTCAAACTTATTAGTTTTTTTTTTTTTTTTACTTGAGCAGTTTAATTGTGGTTAGTTTTTCTGAAACATATAAACAGAAGTTTTGATTTAATGTTAACAGTTAACAGTTCAACAGAACATTTAAGGTTCACATCCATAACACTGGAATTGCTATAATATATATATATATATATATATATATATATATATGCTTGCTGACCCCAGCCTGGTGTAAAATGAAAGATTTTAAAATATGTAAACTTGTAATTAATTAGATTATGTAATTTATATCAATATTTGAGTATAAAAATACATTAAAAATGCTTTCTTTGCTTGTGTTCTCCTCTGCAGATGAATGAAACTACTCTAAGAATTCTGTCAGCGAGTTCAGATAAAAACATGGACAATGTTCCTTTGCCTTCATACTCCCTGCTGTCAAATAACACAGACTTTTTGAACAAGACCGTGATCAGGTCTGCTAATGGAACTGAAGTTGTGGCAGACGACCAGATCTTCCTTAGCACGGCCACAGCTCAAGCCCTATCAGGCATTTTTGTATGGTCCGCGCTCATCCTCACCTGTCATCAGGTAGGCTAATTTACCGAAACTAAATGTCACTAATGTGTTTGAGGATGGATAATTCGCAGGTTTCCTCTTACAGCCAGGCACTCACACATGCAGCACAGTTTCTAATCCCCAGAATGGCTTATTTAGAAACAGAAAGGCGTCTCTCTGTTGCTTTTAAACCAGTACGCCTATATGGGCCATGAGGTGAGAAACAAATCTCAGCATTAAATTGAGTGCTATCACGGCCCAGGGAAAACTGGAGGCGCTAATAGCCGTGGTTCATTCAGAGCTCACACAAATAAAAGCAAATAGCCTAGGCGGGGAATACGCACAGCTGTTTCCTACTGTCTCCTCCCTCATATCTAACCACAGGCTCATTATCGCCAGCAGATCTTGATAACACTGTGTAATTTTAGAAGGTTAATCTATGCCAGCAGTCATTAAAAAACTGCAGCAATAACTAACCAGTGCAGGCAGGTTTATCGATCATCAAGGATCAATAAATACTTGCCTGTTTGTTCTGGACAGTCAACCATGTTTTCTTTCCTTTTAAACGATCCATTTAGTGTGCTGTTAGTCATCTTTGACCAATCCAAGTTAACTTTGGAGGCGAGTGGTACCTGTTCCCAGAGCTGATAAGGCTGCTGAGTAAACATCGAATATGGTTTAGTGTACTCTGGAGATGTAATGCGAGGATATGTAACCAATAATGTATGTGCACTGATGTGCTATCTGCAGTGGACATTTTATGTAGTTATCTACAGTAAGGTGGGTTTTTTATTTTTTCAATTAAAGGAAATTAGTGTGTCTGTGTAATACGTTTACATACCCCATGCATACCTGTCATCATTGTGATGTTGAAAAAAGGATGTGCCCACCGTAATAAGGGAGCTGTTTCATTGTAAATAAGGAGTCAGTAATATGTTTTATTTTTATTAATTACAGAAGAAAAAAAACAGCACCTGTAATGAAAAAGAAGGGAATCCCGCTGTTTTGATATTTGTTTCAAAGTGTTTTCATGCCTAAATAAGACGAAAGAACAGAACATTTAAGAGCAAGTGACGGCCCCTGGTAATTTGGCGTTATGGATTGCATAAAGGGAGGATCAGCTCTTTAACGTTTATTGCCAAGCTTCAGAGAAAGACTCAAAAAAAAAAAACCTGGAGAAATACGGCAAAAATATCTTTACGGGATGATAGCGAGATGGAACTGTAAAATAGGAGCGAATCTCAGGGAAAACGGGAGGGTTGACCGGTATGCCCCCATGAAGGAAATACAAACAAGATATATGGGGTGGTCATAGGGCTGGCCGATTTGGCCTAAAATCTAAATCGCAGAGTATGTGCTTCTTGTCGTTGCGACATGTTGTCAAATTTTTTTGAGAGGTGCACGTCACCCACGGTTAGGGGTATGCTCGATGCAGAAGTATAAATAAAGCGGGCTTACATGACTCCACATACGGTAGGAAAAGTAATTGAAAAAAATTAACCTGGAAAAATTCGATTGATCGTATGTTCTGAATGTCAGTTTCGATTACTTTTCCATTAATAGCCCAGTCCTAGGTGGTCAACTCTTTAAATAGTAAGAAATATTTCGGTCATATCCATATCTTGAATAATAACATTTATAATTTAAAAATGGCCGACGCTGTGGCACAGTGGGTAGCACGTTCGCCTCATAGCAAGAAAGTCGCTGGTTCGAGCCTCGGCTGGGTCAGTTGGCATTTCTGTGTGGAGTTTGCATGTTCTCCCTGTTTTGGTGTGGATTTCCTCCGGGTGCTCCGGTTTCCCCCAGAATTCCAAAGACAAGGGGCATAGGTGAATTGGGTATGCTAAAATTGACCGTATTGTATGTATGAGTGAGTGTGTGTGGATGTGTCTCAGTGATGGGTTGAAAGGGCATCCGCTGCGTAACACATGTGCTGGATAAGTTGGCGGTTCATTCTGCTGTGGCGATCCCAGATTAGTAAAGGGATCAAGCTGAAAAGAAAATAAATGAAGGAATAATTAAAATATTAGATAAACATATACATTTTGACCACCCCTAAAATGGTTCATACCATTGTAAATGCATAATCGTGCTATGCAGTATATATGAGAAAAATTCATTCAGCAGTCTGAATTAGTGCTGCACAATATTGGAAAAATCCCTTTTTTTTTTTTTATTCCGCGATATGTTGCAATATGTGAACAATTTCACTAGACGACATGAAAAACTATTTGGAAAAAATTTATCAATTTAGATTGATTGGTATGATTCTATAGGGCAGTGTATCTGCATACAATATAATTAAAAAAACATTTAAAAAATTAAATAAAGAACAACATGCAAATAAATTAAACAGCTTTTTATTGTTTTCAGAGGAGTCAAACTGTATTCAGGTATACAATAATTGAATATAAAAATAATACTGCATAGTCTTTAAATAAATAATTCAAAAAAATGAATCGTTATTCATTTTTCAAAATTGCACGTTACAATTTCTCATTCCTAAGTACTTTAAAATCCCCATACAGCCACAGCCCTCAAAAACACTTACAAAATTATTAATTATAATCCAGACTCAACATTGCATATTCTGTGACATGATTATTACGAATGACACATTGCGAAATCGATACTGAAACGATATATTGTGAAGCCCTAGTCTGAATTGGTGATATCTTGAGCACCAATACACACCATAAGTGTTCACAAGACTCTCTTATTGTAAAATACATGTTTGTATCTACATGTAGCCTAAATGTTTAGTCAAATTAAATGCATAGTTTGTATTTTTAATAGACACCTACTCACACTTTTATGGTTATCTTTTTATTGGCACCGGAATGCTAACTGTTTAATAGATTGTCGTTGAGAATCACACATCTGCTGAAATAGACAATCTAAGTTTACTGTTGGTCAGAATACACTTTGTGTATATCAAACATATGCAGTAAATATTTCTTAAGGAGTCAAATAATACTTATTAAGACTAATTAAGACTTATTAGGACTCCAGAATAATTCTTTTTTTAGGAAAAACTTTGACATTATTTTTAATGAATGAGAGGGCACAATAAATTGACTTCAACTGTAGGCCTATCTGTTAAAGTTTACAGGCGCAACAATGTGCCTTTATGTACTTGAATGTTAGAAATGTGTTATCTACACCAGTACAAAGTTACTTGTCAAATAAATTAACAAGGAAGATTATTTTGAGTTTAAGTTTTATTTAATTATCTTTTTTATGAAGACTGCAGAGTGATGCATAAAAAATAATATAATAAAATAATGTAATCAAATAATGACTTTGAATAATTATAAATTAAGTATTTTGTGATGTATGTTAAAATGTGCCCCCAAAAGTACAAGTGGCCCTTGAACTGAAAAGGAATTTAGTATTTTGATGACAGCCTTTCCACAGGTTAGTAGTAAGCTAATATAATTTCATAATGCAAATCTTAAATTCATGCTAACCAACAAATGATCAAAGGAAATGTATTAATGTAATTCAAATATATAAAATATGAATTGATGCTTACTTTAAACTTAAATTATATTTTTCTAATAAAATTATTTTAAAAAATATTTTGTCAAATAAAATATTTTTCTAGAGTCATCCACCATAATTTTGTGGATCAAAAGTATCGATTCAGGCACCGTTTTGGCACCAGTATTGTTTTAAAAGTATCGATTTTGCACCGGTATCAAAATAATCCCATACAATACCCAACCCTACACTCAATATCCTTTAAAACACTAAAGTCTTAAGTTAATAAATGTGATGTTATTAAAATAAATATCTAAATTTGGTTGCCTAAAGCATGCTTTACACCAACTAACATTACCAAAAAAGTTGACCCCTTCTAATGTTCATTGTATAATTCTCACCCTGCTCATCAGTTTAAGATTTGAAATTTTTGTTTTGATGACAGCATCACATACACATTTGTCTGGACTCGACAATAAAACATTTCTATAGACTATATATTATATGTTTTGCTCAAAATTAGTGTTGAATAGACGGAGCCAATGAGCACCATTCAAATGTTTTGGTACAGAGAGATATTTTTATGTTTTGAAAGATGTCTGCTCAACAGGACTTCATTTGTTTGGTTCAAAATTGAGTTTTTTTACGCACCGGATGCCCTTCCAGCCGCAACCCATCACTGGGAAACATCCGCACACACACACCCATTCACACACATACACTGCAGACAATTTAGCCTACCCAACTCACCTGTCCCGCATGTTTTTGGTCTGTGGGGGAAACCGGAGCACACAGAGGAAACCCACGTGAACATGCAAACTCCACACAGAAACGTCAACTGACTCAGCCAAGGCTTGAACCAGCGACCTTCTTGCTGTGAGTCGACAGCACTACCGCGCCACTGCGTCACCTATATTATTTATATATATATATATATATATTAGCAAATCTAAGAGTTAAAAAAACCTAGTGAGTGTCAGTTCTGTGGGTGAATGCCTTGTTGATGCCTAAATTTCTGAAAATAAAACACATCAAACCTTGAAGCAGGTGAGCTACAGGAGCAGAATAGCTACTAACATTGACAAACAATTGCCTGATCGTCATGTAAGTTTTCATTTCGTCTGCTACAAGATATGTATTTTTTATTTATTTATTAGGATTAACCCCACATTTATTTATTAGGATGGAGTCCCACAATTAATTGTGTGCACATAATAATAATTACACAATAAGACAGAAACAAAACATATATTACGTAACATCCATAAAACAACAGCAAACAACAAATCCTAAACTTTAACAAAAGGGGAAGTACTATACATGCATATTCATAGTACAAAAAATGTTAAACAACAAAATCCTCACCAAAAAAAAAAAAAAAAAACAGTCCAAAGTAAAATATGACAGCAAAGTTTGCCTAAACACTTTAAATGATGCAATGGATCAAATGTTAGCAGGTAAATTATTCCAATCGTTTGGACTCTTAAACATAAAAGCTCTTTTACCAACATATTTTTAAAACGAGGAACAAAAAATAAGTCTGAATTTAG